CAAATGGCTGCAATATAACAAAGAGTGAAAAATTGAAGGGGGTCTGAATACTTTCCGTACCCACTGTATATGGTAAGATGATTTCTTTAAGTTTTCCTCTTTCATGGATAGATCGTTTCATCTTGCCGTGTAAATGTGTTTAAATTCTTAATAAAGAATTTAAGAATTAAAATATTTTAATCGTTGGTAGTGAATTGCACTGACTCTCTCACGAAAACTGAATCACAGTTTCAAGGCATGTGATTGGCTGCTCATTACTGATGTCAGACATTCATGTGCACGCTGCTACATTTCTACAAACCTGATGAAGAAACAAACTCATCCTGATCTTGCATTTTTGTTTTTAACTGTTTTGGGTTGCATTTACTATTATAATAATTAATAACTACGATTTTGGTGGGTCAAACTGACTCTAATTGATTTTATTACAATTCATCAAAAATCGCACTATGAAAAAATAGTAAATAGCAAACAGAGCTAATCAGAATGATAAAAAAATTGTGTGTTTTTTTTTTTTTAATTGCATTTAATAGTTTCGTTTTCAAATACAATATACAGAAATAAAATTGAATTTTTTTCAAATGTTTTCTTACATTTGTGTTTTTGGAAGTGGATTTTTTTTATGTCTGGTCTCACTGGAATATAGAGGCACAATTAACATACACGATTTTAACAGAACGGCTGGGTTTATGCAGTGGCTCAAATGGCTAATTGATGTTTTGTGTTTTATCTGAGGAAAAAAGGAACTAGAGGAATGTGCTTTAAACCAGTTATTAGAGAGGCAGGCGGGTTTAATCAGGTCTTGCACACATGCGGGTCAGTAATTAGAGAGCTGTAATGTCAGCAGCAACGGCTGCAGTTTGGTTGCTTTCACACAAACACACACTTTGTAGATTCACTATGATCTATTTTACATAATACCAATTAGGGTTTCTCCAGCACATTCTGCATCTAAAAACAGGGTTTGGAGTAAGACATCAATCATTGTCTGATTGATTGTACAAACACAGACATTTATTGGACTGAAAAAGGTCTAAGTCTGGCCTAGTGATGCAGGACTGTGTGTTACGGACATTGAGGAAAGTGTAATAAAATCACAGAGAGACGCTTCAGTCTCACACCACGACCGTGTAACTCATTAAATGTGTTAGATTACCAGACGTGAGAGTCTAACGGCTAATAGTCTTAATGATCCAGACACGTCTGACGGAGCAGGAGGGAGTTTAACGTCTCATCCGTGTCTGAGAACATGAGAAACATATGAAAGATTACAGGATAAACATTAAAGCACTGGAACATTCTTCAGCAATCTGCAGAAAAACGAAGACAAAAATGAATAAAAAATAGAGTGAATAAATAAAAAAAAATAGAGAATCAACAAAAACAAATGAAAAAAAAATTTAATTAAATTTGCAAATAAATGAAAGAAAAAATTAAAAGAGCAGAGGAAAAAGAAAATAATTAAGAATATAAAAGAAAAAGAATGTGCGTAAGAGCAAAACAAAAATAAATTGAATAATGAACAAACGAACAAAAAATGAATGGAAGAAAAAATAA